AAAGAGGGCGCTCTCATACCCGGGTATATGGAGCTGAGGTGGTCGTGAAGATTGTCCAAATTGGTGAGAAAGTCGTACAGATTGCTGCCCAACACCCGAAGCAGTTTGTCGTAGCCATTGATTTGCGTGTATTTTAGGAAATGATTGCCAAACGCCTCCAAACATGTCTCAATGTCTAGACCTGTAATGCATTTGTTTTGGTTAATGTTTGTCTTATGGATATTGTAAATCAATGCTTAGTTTTGCTATACGTGTAATGTTATGGTAAAATTTTATATAAGATGAATGTAATTTTAGCTGACATTATATATAAATGCCGTCAAAAAGTTTTTTCACTCCTCAACTATAATATATAATAAAATTAACTGAAATATATTGTGAAGAATTATGCATTTTAATGTATATTAATGTTAATTTATGCAGTTTTGATAATGCATGGCAATATTTTATGCATTAGTGCAATGAATATGTTATGCATACATTTTTTTGAAACCAAAATTACAAAATTTATATAAAAACTACTTTATCTTCTATTTATAAGTTTGTATTCTTTGAATATTAAATTAACAGAATATGTACTCAAATCTTAGCGTAAAAACTAAAAGGCAAACAAAGATATATCAAAGAGACATCAGAGAGACTGAAATGAAAGAGAGAGAGAGAGAGAGAGAGAGAGAGAGAGAGAGACTTTATTTAAGTGAATGATAAATTAGAAAAGTATTTTCTAGTAAAACATTAATCTGCATTCAAAAAACACTGTTTTTCAATGCACTTTGCAATGACTTTATGTACAAATGATAGTGTTTTATGTCTGCAATTCATCTTATTTTTTCTGCCGTACAATAAAATTATATATTAATATGTTTTGCGTTAACTATATGTTACGGTTGTATATTATAGACTTCAATGACTTTATGTACAAATGATAGTGTTTTATGTCTGCAATTCATCTTATTTTTTCTGCCGTACAATAAAATTATATATTAATATGTTTTGCGTTAACTATATGTTACGGTTGTATATTATAGACTTAGATCTACAAAACTTTATAACATATGGAAAATATAAACATATATTTAATAAACGTTTTGTAATATTTTTGATGTAAACGAGAAATGTTTAAATTAAATAAAAAACAAAAAACTACTCTATTATTAAAATTTTAATTTTTCAAAAACGTTTGTTTTGTATAACGTGTTAAATATTACGATAAAAGAGAGTTTTAGCATCAAATAAAATTATGATTATTTAATTATTTAATAAATTATTTATATTTTCGTAAACATGTTTAATATTATACGGTAAACAGTTTAAATGGAAAATTAAAACTTGAACAGTTATTAAAATAACTTATTAAAATAATTAATGCTTGAAATTCTTTGAAAACAAATACAGAATATTCTGTTATAATAAACGATATGAAAATATTTATAAATATTATAATTACCGACGACTTCACTGGTAGTTGTGATCAATTTGAGGGTCACGTCATCGTTGTATACCTTATGCATGAGAAAGGAGGCGCCCCTCAACTTAACCCCACTCCGGCTCCTGTAATCACAAACATATGCACACATTATTTGATTGTTTAGTTTTATAATTATTATTCAATATATTTTTGTTTAATTATATCAAGTATTTTTATCATAAATTAGGTTATAATAATATTATTTAAAGTAGAAATGTGAAATATTGTGAAATATATTAAACAAAACTTTTATAATTTTGTATACATTTTATGGATTTTTAGCATCATTTATAATTAATTCAATTTAATGACAAATTATGTGTCAAACAAATTAATGATATTCTTGTATACAGAAAAGTGGGGATTAAAAATTTTGTTAAATTTTATTTTAATTAAGTTAATAACTTAACAAATGTTAAAAGTATTTAAATACCATCGTGAAATAAGAAAAACAAAAATAACGATTAAATAAATAATCTTAACGGTAAATAATATAACAATAATGGGATTGCGTTCCCGTTTAGTATCAATAAAAATAAATTTTTAATATAATTTATTGTTATAACAAACAATTTTCTTGTAGTGTTTGGAGAAAAACAACTTTATTTTCAGTCAATACAAGAAATAATGAATTTGTTATGAAGAAAGTACTGGAAAATAATTTTTCCTTTCAATTCTCTCTCTCTCTCTCTCTCTCTCTCTCTCCTACATATTAGTCAAAGTATAGCTGACTTATTATAGGAAAACGCAAAAAAAGTTTTCCACTTTTTTCAATTCCGGATTTCAATAGTTTTTAATGAAATAATTTATACGCAAAGCAAGAGGGAGAAGAAAATCCGTAAATCACTTGAAACTCAAAAATTAAATTCACTTCTCATATGAATACCCATAAGAGTAGTAATAAAAATCCTTAAGTGTTTTATATATGCTATACTTTTTCTTCCCGTCTCTACTAATCAATAATATGGCAGTAATTTTGAGCTCAAATCTCCGATAGATATAATATACGGAATATTCAAGAATTTAAATCTATATAAACAGTATATTTGGGATACAAATCGCTTTTCCCAGTTATTAGACTATATATCCTGATATGATTTTCACTGATTTTAAGTGCAGTTATTATTAATATTATGATTTCATTCAATTACATGGCATTTATTACTGGCTATAAATCAGTGGAAATATTACTTAAAGATTATATCATTAGTTTTCAAAGGAAATTATTCGACACAAAAAGAGAGCCATTTATCTAAAATGAGAGAGAGAGAGAGAGAGAGAGAGCGAGAGAGAGAGAGAGAGAGAGAGAGAGAGAGANGAGAGAGAGAGAGAGAGAGAGAGAGAGAGAGAGAGAGAGAGAGAGAGTGAAATGCAACGGAATTTCTATATATAAACATAATTGTGAAATATTTAATACAAAATTTTTCGTTAATAACCCAAAAGTGTCATAATTTTGTTAATTGATTAATTTTTATTTCTATTTTCTTCTCTTGAGATGAAAAATGGGAAGATTTTTAGTTTTGTTGTTTTCAGATCACAAAACCCTTTGATGTGAGAAATTTAATCTTCGGTTTAAACACCGGAAGAATAGTTTTCTTGAACTGAAATTAAAATTTTTTTCGCTTAGAAATTAAATCCGAAATAATTGAAGGATATATTCTTTACGCTTATTATATGTATTATAAAGTCTTTATATAATCTTTTGCTGTATTATTAAATTTGTGTTAAAATTGTGTGTGAATTGCAGTAATGAAAAAGCCGTTCAAAGTGGCACTACTTGAGAGAGAGAGAGAGAGAGAGAGAGAGAGAGAGAGAGCTTAAGAGAGACAATTGATTTGATTTATTTTTATTAAACCAATATCTTTATCATTCATTCATTTCGTAAAGCTTTTTGAAGCAAAACAATATTGTGTTCAATAATGATCCAGTGTTTGGTTGTGAAGGGATTTGTGGCACAAAATCTCAAACCACTGCTCAATTTTTTTCGAGAGTCTCATCTCTTAAGGCGTTTGAGAATTAAATAAAAGTCTTATTAAAACTCTTTTACAACAAAAATTTTGATGACATTTAAAAATTATTAAACACTCAAAAAGTTAAGAAATATTTTTGAAAAATTATAAATTATTATCTGTTTAATTAAATTCAAGTCCACTTCAATGAAGTATAAGTTATATTAGTTTTTTGGTGCAATAATTTCTATAGCTTTCATTAATGTACTGAAAATTATCTCTTAAACGATTAATTAAAATCAAAATCTAAATATAGTTTGGAATTATATTGTTTAATACAGTATAACTTCTGCATGATTGTAGATTGCACATTGTAGATAGTAAAATTAAAATTACAGTATAATTTAATAGGTTACGGCAGTTTTTTTAGGTAAATATATACATTATTGGCAACATTTCCTATCATAAAGTTTAGCATTAATTTACATAAAAAGTAAACGCATTTAATAAATACCGTACTTATAATTGATGTAAAAATTACTATAAACTTTACATAACACTAGGCTAAACAATTGCGAAACATACACCAAAAACATGATAAATTGTGATCAATTTATAATAATTACACACATGAAAAGTTATTCAAAAAGCGTTACGCCGTATAAAACGCGGATTCCCTTATCGTTCATTAAATTTTAATTAATTTACATTACATTAACATTATGGTAAAAATTAAAAACTACAAAAAAACACAAAAACCACTCACTTGTATACGCTTTCCATCGACTGGCGACTGAACAGTATGCGTCACTTTAACCATAGCTAAGCCCATTTGGACCACTCTATCCGCGTGATCGGCCACCGACTCCGGGAGTCCGCCCACCACTACATAGGCGTCGCCTATAGTCTCCACTTTATACACGCCGTAAACATTAGTCAAGTTATCAAACTGTATGTACAGGCGATTGAGTAGACGGACGACATCCATGGGCTCCACGCGAGGGCTGCCGCACATTGCGGTGAAGCCGACAATATCGGAGAACAGGCAACTGACCGGTTCAAAATTCTCGGCCTTTACCCGGATGTTTTGCGACAACATGCGGGCTATTTTGGGCGGAAATATATTGTTCAGTATCTCTTCCGTGCGTTTATTCTCGTCGCGGAGTTTGCTGTCCAAAATGCGGATATGATTAGTCGCTTCGTCCAACTTCTCAACCAATTCCCGTTCGCCGCGTCTCTGATGGGACATTAGGATGAGATCGCGGGTGCGGTCGTGAACCGGGATGTCTGTCATGTATAGCCCCAGCCGTTTCATCTCATCCAAACCGTTCACACGCGGCGAACACAGGAATAGTATGGCATTGGATTCGGGCACCGGTACCATCTGGCCCTTCAGCCGCAGTTTGGGTACCGCGGTGTCGGTCCCGCTGTCCGTTGAGCTTTGCTTCAGATCACTGCCTCTGTCCGACTCAACACTGATGGTCCGATTGCGGCCGCTTTGGCTTCTATTGGTGTCGGTGTTGATGAACCGGTCGGTGCTCTTCACGACAAACACTTGATTACAGTAACTGAGTATCGCGTCGAATGTGCACTCAATCATTGGCCGACTGATGGCAAACAAGTCGGTAAATTTGGGCACCGGTTGGCCGCGAGTCCACAGACTCCGGGACAACGATTTTAACGAATTGCCGATTTGTATGATCTGAAAGTCGGGGCCAAACATCATATGGAAAGGGAAGGCCTCGCAAATGGTCCGGGTGCTGAACAGTAGGTCCCGCGGCTGCGAACTCAGCAATAGTTGGTGCTTTTGGGGCACCAGTTTAAGCGACGCCTCGCCGCTGTCCACCTCCTGATCCTTACGGAGCACTTCCAGTATGACGTGTCCGTCTTCGCACTCCTCCACAGTGTTGACCACCACTTCGGTGCCGAAGAACTCTTTGCTCACAATCATCACCAGACCCTTAACGATGGCCGACAGGCCCTTACGCTCGCTGTAGTAATGCAAATGCATTGACCCTTCGCTGGTGTTTGTGACCCGAAAAGAGGGCGCTCTCATACCCGGGTATATGGAGCTGAGGTGGTCGTGAAGATTGTCCAAATTGGTGAGAAAGTCGTACAGATTGCTGCCCAACACCCGAAGCAGTTTGTCGTAGCCATTGATTTGCGTGTATTTTAGGAAATGATTGCCAAACGCCTCCAAACATGTCTCAATGTCTAGACCTGTAATGCATTTGTTTTGGTTAATGTTTGTCTTATGGATATTGTAAATCAATGCTTAGTTTTGCTATACGTGTAATGTTATGGTAAAATTTTATATAAGATGAATGTAATTTTAGCTGACATTATATATAAATGCCGTCAAAAAGTTTTTTCACTCCTCAACTATAATATATAATAAAATTAACTGAAATATATTGTGAAGAATTATGCATTTTAATGTATATTAATGTTAATTTATGCAGTTTTGATAATGCATGGCAATATTTTATGCATTAGTGCAATGAATATGTTATGCATACATTTTTTTGAAACCAAAATTACAAAATTTATATAAAAACTACTTTATCTTCTATTTATAAGTTTGTATTCTTTGAATATTAAATTAACAGAATATGTACTCAAATCTTAGCGTAAAAACTAAAAGGCAAACAAAGATATATCAAAGAGACTTCAGAGTGACTGAAATGAGAGAGAGAGAGAGAGAGAG